AGAGATAAGCCTTAGTAAGTAGTGTCCTAATGTCATGTAATGTTGAGAAACCTTGCACTTAAAAAAGTTAAATGGGTAAAACTCAAAAGCACACAGAATATTTCAGAAAGAACATGTGTTCCTCAGCACATTCATAAACATGGTGTAGGCCCACAGTTTAAGAAAGGCAGCTTTGATATTTATTTAATTTATACTTAAACATTTATGACTTACAAACTTCTACGGTTAAAAAAAATTACTAATTTATGAAATATCTGGCTCTACCAGACAATACATTCCACAAAGGCAGAGGCTGTGCCTATCTTAGTCATTATTAGAAATATGCCTATGAAATAAGATGGATACAATTAATATCGGTGAATGAACGGGCTGATGAAGAGAGAAAACATTTTCTCCCAAGCTTATTTCACAGAACTCTCACATGCAGATTTCTGCTAGAAATAAGTTGGTCTGCTTACTGCCCACCACTCTGCCACTTCCACACCTTTGCTTACCCCATTCCTGCCTGGGGTAGCCACGCCTCTTCCATCCAATCATACCCAGGCTTCAAAGTCTAATTCAAATACCATCTCTCTATATGTGGTTATTACATAATCCTCCACATACAAAAGGCACTAAACAAATGCTTGTAACTAAACTTCATCTCTTTAGAAAGCAAAGCATGCACAGTGAGAAGGGGTAACAGTTCTTTGATCTTCACAATTTGTATAGTAAGCCATTCACTCATGTTATCTATGATAGATGGGGTGACGCATCAACTTGTCTGGGCCACAGGCCACCAACGTTTGATTACTGGTGTGTCACCAAACATACTGGGTATGTCAGTGAGAGTATTTCTGGATGAGATTATCGTTTGAGTCAGTAGACTGAGTAAAGCAGACTGCCCTCCCTACTGTGGGTGGGCCTCATCTAATCCACTGAAGACCAAAATAGAACAAAAAGACTGAGTAAGAAGGAACTCCTCCTGCCCCACTTCCTTGAGCTGGGACATGGGTCTTTTGCTGCCTTTGGTCTTGAATGGAAACATCAACTCTTCTTGGGTCTCCAGCCTGTCAGCTTTCAGACTGGTACTGGTAAGTATACCCTCAGCTCTCCTCGTTCTCAGGCCTTCACACTCAAACTGGAACTATACCATTGGCTCTCCTGGGTCCCAGCCTGCACACTGCAGATCTTAAGACTTCTTGGCCTCCATAATCATATGAGCCAATTCCTTATAATAAATCTCAATCCCTCTCTCCCTCTCCCTCTCTCTCTCTCTCTCTCTCTCTCTATATATATATATATATATATATATCTCCTATTTGTTCTGTTTCTCTGAGAACCATAACTAATACTTATTTTAATATATTTATTCTTACAACTGAATTTTCATTCGTATCACACTGCAGTTCTGAAAAGCACCTGGAACAGTGGTATTACATGGTATTTAACAAGATTAAATTATTGTGCTCCCTGAAAATTTTGTAACAGCCATTAGAAAAGACATCCACTCTTTTCCTAGAATCATCAACCAGGAGCCACTTAACCACCAAGTAGAAAGGGCCTCTTTGAGAACAAAGCCACATAGATGTAGGCAGAGAAGAGACGGTAAGAAAGAGACATACACACAGTACTGTAGACAATTCAAACCCCTGAATCCAGCTATATCTGACACCAGCACAAGTCTCTGACTTCTTAGTTATATGAGCAAATAATTACTTTGCAAGTTAGTCTGAGTTAAGTATTACTGCTTGCAAATAAAATCGTCTTAACTGGGGCTTCGCTGGTGGCGCAGTGGTTGAGAATCCGCCTGCCAATGCAGGGGACACGGATTCAAGCCCTGGGCCGGGAATATCCCATATGCCACGGAGCAACTAAGCCCATGAGCCACAACTACTGAGCCTGCGTGCTGCAACTACTGAAGCCCGTGCACCTAGAGCCCGTGGTCCGCAAGAAGAGAAGCCACCACAATGAGAAGCCTGCGCACCGCAACAAAGAGAAGCCCCTGCTTGCCGCAACTAGAGAAAGCCACGTGCAGCAATGAAGACCCAACTCAGCCAAAAATAAATAAATTAAATAAATAAATTTATTAAAAAGAAAAGAAATCGTCTTAATTAATACAACACTTTCAGGTGAAAAGATTGAAAAGACTGTCACCTCGGCTTTACCCAAAGTATTTTTTAAGGTCAAAGAAGGATTAAAACTTTAACAAAATTAAAAGGATTGATGTTAATATGTTTATTTTCACATTGAAGCAGGTTTTATGTAGCTCCTATAAACTCTAGAAACTTCATTATTCTTAAGCCATTATATGCACATACTCATTGAAGAACATGAATTTTCCATTATGAGCATTTCTAAACTCATTAATTACCAAGAGCTATCTTCAAAGACCAAATTCCTTGTCAAGGTCTCTAGTTTTCCAGTATCAAAGTTAAATGAATTCATCATTTGTATTTCATTTTTTAAAATTTTTTACATAATATTTATTGAGCCCTTACTATATATGCCAGGTGGGCACAATCATCAGCATCTATTTTATGGCCACTTCTATGAAGTATGTAGCATTACTATTATTGTTCCATTACAATCTTCATTTTAAAGTTTAATAGGAGGGATTACAATGTTCCTAATAATAACAGTAGTGGTGCTACATATTTGTCAAGAACGTACTATGGGGGATTTCCCTGGTGGTCTAGTGGTAAAGAATCTGCCTTACAATGCAGGGCATGTGGGTTCGATCCCTGGTCAGGGAACTAAGATCCCACGTGCTGCGGAGCAACTAAGCCCGCGTGACACAACTACTGAGCTTACGCTCCTCAACTAGAGAGCCCACGCACCCTGGAGCCCACACACCACAACGACAGAAGAGAAAAAGCAACCCGCACGCCACAACTATGGAGAAGCCCGCACACCACAACGAAAGATTCCCGCATGCCTCAACGAAGATCTCGTACCCTGCAACTAAGACCCAACGCATCCAAAAATAAAATAAACAATAAAAAAAAAGAACGTACTATGTCCCACACACTGTACTAAGTGCTTTACAAGAAGTATCCCATTTAATCCTCACTTTCGAATCTTCTAAATTAGGTACTATTATCCTCATTTTATAGATAAGGAAACTGAGGCTTAAAGAATTAAATGCAGAGCCAAGACCTGCACTTCACATCAGAATCAGTACACAAGGTTTGAAAACATTCCACACCACATCCCAATAAATCCCATAACATTATCCAAAGTGCATTTCAAATTGCTTAACCAAAACCTGAGCTCATCTACATTACATTTGTTCTTGAGTTGCCATGTGGTCTACATTTGTGTTTTCCTCTTTAATTCCTCATCTCTGGAAAAGGTAAAGATGCCCATTAAAGGAAATACATATTATTTATGATAGCTCAAATGAATAAAATAGGAGCACTAAAATTACAGATTCAATACTTTTTATACTACAGACTGTTCCATAAGTGGGCAGACTTTAGAAACGATGAGATTTTATTTCAAATGTGCATCGGTGTTAACAAACTATTGTTAAACTGAGAAGTCTTGCTGGAGGAAATCCTGTCCCTCTTGGGGGACATCTCAGGTCCTGAAAAATGCTTCTGTACAAGTCATCGGGTAGCAGATAAGATGGCACTGATAACATTAATTAATCCCATGAAACAAGATTGGAATCTTGTATCTACCCACATTAAGTACAAACCACACATGCACACACGCATATATCACAAATGCAAACAAAAATATATTCACTGATAGTTTATCACTGAGAAAGCTCCACATGACAAAGTTTAATTTTTTTTCATATAGATAATCATTTTCTTACTTTGAGTATCAAAAGTATTCTTACTGTACGTATTACCAGGAGTCTCCCTGAAGCCAACTGCAGAAGCACGAGAAGCAAAAAGAACCAAGGGGCTAGCTTGTAAATCAAGCCGTCACAGGTCAAGCTCCCCTCAGTCAAGACAGGCTCCCTCAGCTGGGAGAAGGGTTGTCACACGCTGACTACACACTTCATAAAATATACCTTCCTAAGCCAACAAGGAGTGGTTGAGCTCTTTGGAATATAATTAGATCTGGTGTCTATACTGTGGGGAAAAAAAAAAAAAGTTTTTTTAATAAGAACAGATCTTGAGAAGTTTAACAAATATCGGGGAGCATCTGGTGGAGCTGCCATCCTTGAAAACTTGCTGAACTGACTCAGACTGCAGGCCAGGCCCTGAGGAAGCAGGATCAGGCACGTGCTTTAATGCCTGAGACGCTTTCCAACATTTGTTTAATTTTATAAAAAATTTATTTAATAGTGATATGTAGCATATCACTATTTTTTTAACTTCAATTTTTTTTTAAGCTTCAATTTTTTTAACTTCAATTTTTTTCTTTGATAAAATTTACAGTGTTGTCTGAATTATAAGGTGCCATTTTAGAGCTTAACATATTTGTATTGGGTGCTCTTAGCAGTCATCCTATTGTGTGTTTGCTATGTGAGCAATGGAGTAAAAGGAAAAAAATAATCCCCTTCTGTTAATTAATACTCATTAACTGTTCTACCACCATCCCTCCCCCACAAAAAATGTTCTGTTTTTAACTCAACTTAATTTCCATTCCAAGAGTTTGGAGGGGAGGGAAGCAAGATTTCTTTCCATCTCTATTATTTCTGAGGAGGTCCAGGAAAAGTCCCAATTTTATGTTCAGGAGTCTTGTCATGTTGACCTTGAATAATAAACCTTATCCCTCTGGCCACAAACATTTTTAAATCTGCAAAACTCCAGTCATGTCCCCTGTAGAAAACAGATAAAGTTCTAAATGGATGTTTTTGAAGATGGACTGAGATTCTCCTGCATCCTATGCAGCATAGTAGTTACTGCCTCTCTTTCTAGACCTCTTTTACAGTGAGTGCATAAGCCCCTGGATAAAAATATAAGGTCCCTGTGACCCTGAGCCCATCATTGGACCTCGTTTGCCAGAAGCATCCTGGGCACCCTACACTTCTCTGCCTGAGTGCAGTGCATGGGACTTACTGGGGAAGTAAGACATCTCTAATGAGGGCCAGAAGATTGCTGTCAGAATCGACATTCGCCTCCTTCTTGCCATCACCAACCTCCTGGTTCATGAGCAGAGATGTGGTTTCTGACAGCAGCCGCAAGCTGAAGAGTCTCCACTCCACTTGAAAGAAAAAAAAAATGCCAAGAACGTGACCACATGGAGATAGAATGAAAACAGAATGTGTAACTGATGGAATTCTCACTGATGTGGTCACACTTACCATTCCCGCTTTGAACCAAGGAGACCAAGGGTGGCAGGATACAATCAACCACCTAAAAGGAAAGACGTAAAAGACTTGGTTCAAATCCCTACAAACAAAAAACTGATATTGTTACCGAACTCAAGTCCGTGTGCCTGACACACAGTGAGGCCAAACAATACTGAAACGTCGGAGTTTGGAGCGGACAAAGGTTTATTGCAGGGCCCTGCAAGGAGACGGGTGGCTCTTGCCTTAAAAACCCTGAACTTCCCGAAAGCTTTGAGCAAAGCCCTTTTACAGGAAAGGTGAGGGAGGGGCAGGGTTAGTTGTTGGAAGCTTCTTGGTGTCAGATCCTTTGTTCTTGAGGTCAGGTCATGATGTTCCTGTAAACGTCCACCAAACAAATGTTAGTCTCTGTTCTGACAAGAAGGGGCAAGGTCCCAAGGCTCAACTTTCGCCCTCCGAGGTCCAGGCCTCATTAAAAGGAGGGGTCCCTGCGCAGGCCGGCCACCCTGCCCGGGAGTGCTGGTCCAGCACCCAGCCCGGGTCCTCCCACCAGTGCCTAGCCCGGCTGAGGAGGCAGATCTCAGCTGGCGGCGCCCTCGGTGCCAGGTCCCCAGACCCCGCCCAGCCGTCATCCCTGAGGGAGCCAGGGGCCCAGGACCCAGCCGGCCCTCAGGCTGCCCAAATCAGGGGCCGTGCCCCACGCACTGCGACCCACGGAGACCACTGCCACCATCATTAGGTCGTGGAGGCAGGGATGGGGTAGAGGTTCGCCGCTGCCTCGAGGCCGAGCCCGGACCGTGGGCGGCCTGGTGAGGGCTCTGGAGCCCTGCAGGACACAGTCCGCAGCCTGCCCCCAAGGCCCCGAGCTCACCCGCCGGCCCAAGGCCAGAGGGCCTGGAGGGCCCCAAGAAGAAGGCCAGTCACGATCCGTCTCTCACCACACTCTCTGCTACGCGCAGACCACTGTGAGGCTGACTGTTGGGGGAGCAGGACATCTAACCACCCCACTAAGGGTCATACGCTGTCACTCGCGCCCACCCCACCCCTATTACAATATCAACCACTACCCATGCCTTTTCCACTGACAGAATCATTAGTCAAAAGAGTGAGAAAAAAAAAGCAACAGCTAAATTTACCCAGGATTTAAACTCTGCATGACATTTAATAAACCACCAAGCTCATTTAAATCTGAAAAAGTCCGCAGGTCAAAATGACATTATGTTCATCAAGACAGTAGTTTATCAAAACCTTCAGAGTTTATGAAAGGACCTTTAGTATATAATACAAACTCTGGTTGGCATGGGTTGACACTGAACCGTCAAATAAAGATATGTAAGCTGGTGATAATTAGTCAAGTTTAAACTAAACAACAATTAAAATGTTGGAGGAAAAGGAGATACATAAACCTCATGTTTTTGCAAATACATCAAAGCGCCATGACAAGTTAACCTTGGTGATTTTTATAAATAGATTCCAAAGATCTAAACCCGTTACACAAACCACCTCTATGATTTTCTAGTTATATCAGACAGAGCACAATCAAATATGGTTTGCAACCTACTCCAAAATAACAAATTTACCCCCCAAATGAAAATGGATGATGAAGAAAGGACAAATCATTTCCACAGTGTAATTCTGATAACTACTAGCTCGTTTGGTGAACTCTTTTGGTGACAATAAACAAAATTCCTGTTGTTTATAGCTGAACTGATTTCCTGACCCTAAGATGTGTATTTGCTCTCCTCACCACACTGACAAAAGGGCAGGAAAAGCGGTCCACGGCCCAAAACCACCCTCTTGCTGTCCAAACCAATGAAAGGATACCCTACACAGGTAAGGATCTCCACACATGGGTATTGGTCCGTCAGTGTTACCCTGTTCTAGCTCCACTCCACAAAATAAGTTTATACGTAACATTATATCTAGATATTTGTACCACAACCCTAAGAACTAGGGATGTTTTGTTTATCCTCTTCCATTAAGCGACATCACATCGCTCAAAGCATAGACATCAAGCTTCACTAAGGAATTTTTAGAACTCTAAACTCCCAGGTACATCAAAAGCAAAAACTATGCAAAGAAGAGAAATATATCCCACTATCAACCGCTATCAACACGCTCAACATCTATCTTGAAGGTTTAAGAGAGCATATTAAGAGAGGAGTGGGACTGAATTTATCTACATGTCCAACTCAATAAGTTTGAAAACCAACAATTAGGCATGGTCCAAAAAGCAAGGCTGTCAGAAGATGAAGAGACAAAAATCAATAGTCTTCCAATATGCCTACAACAACCAATCAAATAACGTAATTAGAAAAAGATACCATTTACAACAGTAATAAAATTCTAAGGTATCTATGACATCATGACTTTCATAGAAATATATATATGTGTGTGTGTGTGTGTATATATATATATATATATATATATATATATATATATATAAAATATGTATGACAGCCATCGATGGACTTCTGAAAAATAGCTTGAAAGCTGTCACAACCATGCTCACAACAAGAAAAAAGACAAACTGGAAATCAGCAACTCTTCTCAGACATACCAGAGACTTCAAGTCACAGGGCAAACCAGCTGTCCCCCAGAAGTGAAGAGACAGGCAAAGACAGAGAATCATAGCTTAACAGGAGCAGAAACCACCAGTGGAGCCAGCAGCTGGAGCAAAAACATAAAGGGTAACTGACTAATTGCTGGTGTCTGAGCAGAAGAGAGGAAACCTCCTTCAGGCCCTGCGTGCACCTGCACCTGACAACGGGGAGGGGGCTGAGGTGAGAAGCACTTGTGAAGTTCACAGCCCAGGTGCACATGCTCAGAAGAGGAATGAGACCAAATCAGAGGGGCTATGGAACCCTCCTCCCCCCACCTCACCACAACATCAATAGGGCTCCTGTGTAATAACACAGGATTACAACAGAGAGCTGCTTTATTATAAAGACACAGGCTTTATTTCAGAAGGAGCTATTAGGGAAACCCAGGACAACAGGAGAGACAAAATAAGGACATTATGGGGAATTTTAGCCCCTGAAACCTACAGCTACAGCAAACAGTAAACATAGCCTGGCTCTTAGCCAGATAAACATAAAACTTCACACTAACGGCTCAATGATCTCAGTTCATTTTACCTGATACATCATGCTGGAGTGAAATATTTGAAGTGCTGAGAGGGAAAAAAACACCACCCTAGAATTCTGAGTGAAATTATCCCTCAAGAGTAAAAGGAAAAATAAAGCCTTTCTCACACACACAATAACTGAAGAAATGTTTTGCCAGTAGACCTGCCTTGCAAGAAATGTTAAGTTTCTCAGAAAGAAGGAAAATGACATAGGGCAGACACTCAGATCTATATGTTAGAGAAAAAATAAATGAAGGTGAAATATAGTAATTGATGAGAAGCCTCAGACAGGTCAACTCTGTGCAAATTAATCTGTAATTCCAATAAAAATAAATATTCCAACGAGGTTTGCATGAACTCCTCATACTGATTCTATAATGTATTTGGAAAGGAGAGGGTCAGGAATAATGGAAAATTTTCCAAAAAGCATGAGGCATATTTGGTTCACCTTCTCAAGTTTCCAAGTTTACTGTGATGGAAATAAACATGATGGCACAAGCAAAGGGGTAGACAAAGAGATTCATGGAACAGAACAGACAGCCTAGAAACAGATACATATGGGAACGCAGTAAGTAGCAGATAGACTACTACCAACAGTGGAAAAACATATAGACTATTCACTGAAGGAATAGGTACAATTTAGTTGTCTATTTGGTAAAAAAAAAAAAAATGTCATAATGCTAAAAAAAAAAAATAAATTACCGGAGGCTTAAAGATCTAACAGTTAAAACAAAAGTTCTTAAGGGAAAATATGAGAGAATGGCCTTCGTGTTATTAGAGTAGGAAAAGGCTTTTTAAATGATACCTAAAAAGTACAAACTAAAAGATAATACTAACAGGGACTTCCCTGGTGGCACAGCGGTTGGGAATCCGCCTGCCAATGCTAGGGGACACGGGTTCGAGCCCTGGTCCGAAAAGATCCCACATGCCGCTAAACAACTAAGCCCGTGTACCACAACTACTGAGCCCGTGCTCTAGAACCCATGAGCCACAACTACTGAAGCCTGCTCGCCTAGAGCCCGTGCTCCGCAACAAGAGAAGCCACTGCAATGAGAAGCCCGCGCGCCACAGTGAAGAGTAGCCCCCGCTCGCCACAATGAGAGAAAGCCCGCGTGCAGTAACGAAGACCCAATGCAGCCAAAAATAAATTTATTTTTTAATACTAATAAATTTGACATTAAAATGAAAAATACTAGTAGAAGATGAGTCCTCATAAACAAAATGAGAAGAAAAGCCATTGGCTAGGAGAAAGTTCTGCAATCCCTATACCTGACAATGGATGAATATGCAGAATACATGAACAGGGGGCCCCCCCGAAGGAGAATACCTAAACAGCCAGTAACCATATCAAAACTACTCAACTCCACTAATAATCAGAGAAATGAAAGGTAGAACAAAACAGATACCAATTTACACAAATCCAGTTAGAATATCACATTTCCCCCAAGACTGGGGGAAATGGGTACCCACATACCACAAAGAAAATCAGTAAATCAGTATTTAACTTGGAAGAACAATTTCACAATACCAACCAAAGCTGAAGATGAACACAGCAGACAACTCAGCAATTCAGCTTCTACGTGACATATTTAAAAACACTCACTGCAGATCTGATTTCAGGAGTGAAAAGAGAGTGAATAAATCATTACATTTATATTTCATTATTTAATGAAAACATCAACTTGCAAAATGATACAGGCAGCATGACACTATGTAACCTGAAACAATACCTATAATCTTAAAATACATATTAAATGTAAACTTCTGTATTAAAAATGTATTTTGCAAGGCTTAAAAGAAGAAATCTATTTAATTATAATATTATTTAATTTTTAAATTAACACAGTTTTCCTCTGAATAACTCAAGGCAATTATAACAGTATCGCAAGATGATACAAATTTAATCCTTCCAACTGAGAATGATCCTTCAGAAGAAGTAA